GCCGTGCGTCCGCCAATGGCCCGCCAAGAAGTCGACGCCAGGAGAGAGTGGCCTGTGAAAGGACGCAAGTAGGTAAGCTATGGTTCGAATTTGTTCATTTAGATGATGGATAAAATAGACAGATCTCAGGAGACGCTGATACTAGAGAGAGCGCGTTGCCCGAAAGGAGATGTTGATCCCAATTGCGCTTGAAGCGCAGCATCTTTCGCGACCGTCCGCGCAAGGCGCACCGAACCGCGGAACGTCCTACGGACAGTATTGCAGCGCTGGAGCTATGGCATCCGTGCGCGATGAATTGGCGGTCCGCGCACGGATCCATAGCTGCAAGCGAAACATGTCCGCAATTTGTGGGGGACACAGAGGTAGACATTTGGACGTCAACAGTGTGACTTGCTATAAAAAGCTGAACCGTGAAGTCGTAACTTCGGTACCGAGCTGATGAAGCGAAGTCAGAGAAACACTGTCGAAATTCCGAACATTTCGCAGAAGACCTTGCCTCAGTGAATGCAATACGGCTGTCAGTAATCACGAACATCCTACCGTGCCTCTTCGTGCCGCCCCAACGCTGCAACGTTTTGCAAACGTTCAATGGCGAGGCTCGCTGACGGGGAGTTTGAAAGCCAGTGCGTCGCCTCCCCGCCGCGTACTTAGCGCCATTAGACTGGCACTCTCTTGCACTCTCGGCTTAGCCTTAGTCACTACAATGGCTAATTCGAGGTGGGAGCGAGTCGCTAGTCTATATATAGCCTTTGCACCTCGCAACGTTCTTGAAAGAAGAGTAGGCCCTATACTAGAAACATGAACAATTCGTTAGTTAAATAGATTTCGATTTAGTTACATTATTTTATTGAAACGCTTCCAAGTGCCTGTGGTCTAGTATTATCCTAGGTGTATTCGTAACCCTAGGCCAAAGAGCGTATTCTGCTAGTCGTATCGTAGTCTCAGATAGTACTATGTTGGTCTCAAGATTTAGAGAACATGGCCTCCCAATATTATATCGGCCCCCCAATGTAGGTGGCATGGCCAATAAGAACCAGAGTCATTTAATTCAATCTAAATATAATATATAACAATATTAATTTAGGCTTAGGGTTATGTTAGGGTTCGGTCATAGCCTAGTACTATAAGCCGCTTACATACGAACTGCAGCTGCAGACGACGCTCGATCCGCCAGATGAACCGCCAGCGGCAGTTAATGTAAGCGCTATAGTATATAGAGCTAGGTTCGTCATTATAGAGCTTGCTTAAATACTAGTTAACAGAGTAGTCATTATTACTATTACTAATTAGCTCTGCGGTCCTTGGGGTATACTAGTACTAGTACTAGTAATGCTTGGGTCACTTAGTGTACTAACTACTACTAGTACTTAGTAGTAGTAGATGATAGTGCGTGGGTAACAACGCATCTTTTCGCAACGCCATCTTGTACACGGCCTAGTGCCGCTGAGTGCTCCAGTCTAACGAACGTGATGATCCACGTGTGTGCTGTACGTGGCCGTGTGATCTTCCTGCCAGTGCTGGTAATGATGCAAAAACGGCAAACGGGCTAGAGCTGAGAGGAGATGCGAGCGCGGGTGTAACAGGTTCATAAGGAGAAGGAGATGGCTACGATAATAAGAACGGCGACGTCACGTCAGCCTGCCGTGTCAATTGACTGTACGACACGTCATTACGCCAAGTATCTCTCGCTATCGACTAAAGTCGTTATAGTAACTATCGAGGTTACAAACTCTCCACTGGGCCAGTCTAAGAGCCCTAATTGCCGTTTTTTCCTGTGGGAATCTCTCCAACATCCCTCGAGTAGAGACTCGTCCGTGGCCATTTCTCGGTAGCGATAGTACCAGAATAAATTCAACGGCGTGTAATTAAGACATTCGAAATCCCTTTATATACAAACAAAAAACGAACGCGGCCCAAACCAAAAAAAGTTCCAATTACGACATGGGAGTTATTTGTCCGCCCTGACGTCCATAATCCAAACAGTTTGTGCTAAGCGCCACAACCATCGAATCCCGATTACAGCCCATTTGAATAACATGAAATCGTTTAATGTAGACATGCGAGTTAATCTGAAATGGCGCCAACAGGTGGCTGCGATCCGCGCTCGCGTCGTATATTCGGCTGGCAAGACTGTTGCAGTGCTACTAACATTTAGACTAGCCCAGGCCCGTACCAGGGGGTTCGGGGTTCGCAACGAACGCGCTCCCCCTCGCGTCCCGCGAGCCCCTCCCCCCAAGCAAAAATTTTTTTTTGAAAATTTGCAAAATATTCATTTTAGGTCGCTCCATTTCGGCTGTAAACATGCAAATATCTCAAGCGTCGGAGTTGGAACAGCTGGAACACCTCCCTCCACACCCTCCCCGCCCCCTCGGTCGCTTGCTCTCTCGCCTTGGTCCGTCGCCGCGCCTGAGCAGGGGTATGTACAGGGGGGGTCCAGGAGTCCGGACCCCTTGCTCGCGCAGCAAACGCATCTGACGGGTGTAATTTTAAAATTATCCCCCCCCGCTTCGCCTGCTGCGCAACTATGGCTTTACGGTTAGAACCCCGCTGCTACGAATACCTGTACCCGCACTTGCCGAGCAAATGTGCCGAACATGAAAAACGAACCCCCCCAATAGAAAAGCTGCTACGGGCCTGGACCAGCCTATGTTGATACTTGAAATTAGCAGATCACATTACTAAGGATTAAGCATAGCAAAGAACTACTAGTTCGCAATTTTGATAATATTTTTAGGTTCTTCTAACTGCTACACGGAACATACTCGAACGTATTAATTTAGCAATGTGATAGATAAGGGCAGTGGGTCGATGCAGCATAAATGATGGCGTAAACATTGAGAAAATTGATTGTGTGTAATAATTAATGAAGGTTGGTGGGTGAATATTCATTAATGGGATTATGTTACGTTAATGAAATATGCGCTATACAACTACTGCTGTTGCTGTCTGTATTTTTGCGCAAGGCTTACATTCGACTTGCTCCTTGTCGTTGAAAGGAGCATCGGAATGATCATAGTATATTGAAATGAAATAATTACTTACAGGTGAAAAGGGAAAAAACAAAGGCAGCACAAAGCATTTTAAGAAATCAAAGATAGGAGACCGAGAAAGAGGAAACCGAGTTCGAAGAGAAAAAACCATAAATCATAAACACAGAGAGATAAAGTTTAAACCACGTAATAATGGCTTTTGCTGACGTATTTATACGTCGTTTAATTTTGTGTAAGTACAAATTAATTCTGTTAATACTGGTCGCTGAGTATCTTGCATCGTGGACATTGTGTGTATAAGAAAGTGTTGCCAGCTGGTTTAATTCAGAATTTAGAGCACCACGGTCTGAGTTAGAGAATCTACTAAGGCCACAATATACCCATTAATATATATTGAGTCGTATATGTACTACTATGTATGTATGGTATCTTTGCCCTATAGGCGGCTCAAACCGCCCAAGCGATCTGGGATGGAATTTTTCCACAGGGCATTCTCTTTATACCGGCCGGTCGTGTTCGTAGCTAAGAAAAAAACCTGTCAAAACGTCATAACTCGCCGAAAAATCCGTGAAAATCCCGTCATTCGGCACATCTGTCACACAATGTCAGCACAGCCTTATGACTATTGATTTTCTTTGCCCTCACCTCATGATCTCATCAGGCTGCTGGTATTGTAAACGAAACCGAAATCGAAACTAAAAAGGAGCATAACCACGGCCAGCTTCAGTAGTACTACTCACTCTCAGTTTCACAGTTTCGGTTCAGATGCTAACGATCTGGAGAATGTCATTGACCATTCCAAAGCTAGCCATTTTCTGATTCAATCAAAAAATTCTTAATTTCAATGTTGCACTGGTTGCACGCCAACGCCATTCACTACACAATATCCAGTGGCACAGCAGACCCCACTCGCGGCCTGTCTCTATCTATTAACTATATATCATTTCCTTTTATGCGCGTAAGCTCACAATGGATAGCTGTACGGGGAGCTTAACTAGTTCGATACGCCAGCGAATCTCACATATTTTCACCAGAGAATAACACGAAAGATCATTGTTTTCAAGAGTCTTTGAAACGAAAATGTCCACCCATTCGTAGTATTGCTGTTATATAACAATAGTCTTTTTGTCGATTGTGACTCCTATTACTGCTGAGAGAGGTCTGTTGCCCCCCACCCGGATACTGCGTTGAACGTACCACTGGGTTCGGTGGGGTATACCGCGACGGTACCTGTAGCTATCTTAATATGCGACCGTACCTCGCCTTACTCGCACTAACGAGTCTAGGCGAGTCGCCTAGCCGACTCCCTAACCCAACCAAACCCTAACCCTGAACCATATCAAATAAGCCACCAGGGTACGGTTCGGTATACCTGGGGACATAGACCCTATGAGCCATATACTGATTAAATTATGTCTCAGTGTTCTAAGTTGGGGTTGTGATGTCATATAAATGTCATAGGTAACAGTTTTTCCCCAGCTTATTATCTTCTTACTATAATTAGCGACGATTTCTGAATATTGATAATTCGTGGTGCAATGGTCATTGTCGATCGTTTACCCAATGCCTTTCCTTACTGTGTCCCATTATTTAGGTCAGGCCCGTAGCCAGCGGCGGGGTTCGGCGGGCCGTGAACGAACCCCCCCCACCGGCAGAGGCCCAAGCAAAAAATTTTTTTTTTTAATTTCCAGAGAATTTCACTCAGGTCGCTCTATTGTTGTGGTAATAATTGCAAAATCATCCATCGTGCGCGAGCCGTTGAACAGTGAAGCACCCCTCCGCAACCTCCCCCGGCCTCCGGCTCGCTTGGCTCCCTCGCCTGGTCGCTTCGCGACCGAGCAGGGGGTGTACCAGGGGGGTCCAGGTCGAGTCCGGACCCCACCTTTGCTCGCCGCAGAAAACGCATCTGAGGGTGTGTAATATTTAAAAATTTCCGGGGGGGCCCAAGACCCCCGCTTCGCCGTCGTCTCGCAACTTCGGTTTTACTGGGTTACGGTTAGACCCCCCCTGGTACAAATCCTGTACACGCCCCTGCCGAGCAAATTGCCAACATTGAAAAACGAACCCCCCCCCAATACAAAGCTGGCTACGGGCCTGATTAGTATAGTAGTATGAATTAGTAGTACGATTTTACCCAGCGCAGCGGGTACCCGCAGCTAGTATCCTATAAAGGAGGTGAGCGAAAGCAACTTTTTGTCAACCTTTCTTTGTGGGACTGGGAGGGATCACCAACAAACCATTCAGGAATTTATGACAAGGATGCGGAGGCAAACGAGAGATAGCATCCACAGCCTTTTATTGCTACAAATGCCGGCCAATTTTGAGGCGCCATGGCTGTGTAGTTCGGTTCTATTCACAAGAATATTAATTATAAACAGAGATAGTGAGATCTGTGGTTTATCTTCCACCTTATTTGCATCTATGTACACTCAAACCTGTGTTAGCGGCTACATCTGTAAATCGGACGCTTGTCTACAAAGGGCACTTGGCATCTCCATAGAGTGACAGTTACACAATGAAACCATCTCTATAGATAGGTGATCTGTCTATGAAGGACACTTTGGTATTTTCTGTCAATGACCCATATATACAGGCTTGACTATAAGCTCCAGTGCAGTTACTGCCATGACACAGCAACTGATGCTTTAAATGACGAGAGAGTCCGTATAAATGCATAGAGGAATGGTTAATGTCGTATGGTTTTCATAATGTTATGTTCTGCCAGCTCTATCTCGACTCACACCTTGCGTACTTACTCGGAGCATTGTTTTGTAAAGGTGCAGACACCACCGGAGGATGAGCTACCACCTGTACTGTCACCGATGGTAGACCTGCAGCCTATCAGTAAGGAGCCAGAACACAAAGCCGTTTCGCCCAGCACAGCCTCGAGTGCCAGTCCCTCATCATATCCTCTCGGCACATGTACGTATACTTTCGCAACACGGAAAAGCTCAAATATCCTGACAAGCCTACCATGAGTCTAACTAATAAATGGTTATTTTATTAGTAACACTAACTATTATCACCGACGCCTTGGAAGCTAACCCAATAGCACCACACTCCATTGTTCTGGCCACGGCCTTTACTTTGTATGTGTCTTGTCCAGTGTCCAGTGGATTACGATAATTTTGCGTTATTATGTAAACTTGCCCCATTTATAATATTATTGGAACAATGAAAGATCATTTGTATTGGTTTTATTAGTTACATATGATGTTATTTTTTACCATAATTATTATTAATATTGTTATAGCATTTTACACCTAAGCTACAAACGTTCACTCATTTCCTTACCTAGTTTGTCATATTATTGCTATGTTATTCTGTTGAAATACCATAATCGTGGTTCTTGTATCATAAGTAAGTTATCGAGCTGAAATGAAAATTTCAATAGAATTCTTTAAATGAAAGATCATTGATTTTGATTTTATTAGTTACAGATAGTGTGCAGACTGATAGCATGGTTACGTCACAAACGTCAACTAATGTCCTTATCTTTATTACGCCAACATAACTATAATGTATCGTTTAACAAAACGTTGCAGAAATGAACCTGGCACGACGTGAAGTCTGTTATACGTACGTGACGGCGTTATTCTGGTTGCTATTTGCAGGTGGCAGCGGCGGCCCGCTCGGCTCGTTAATAGCCGAACTCGAGGAGCAGGAATCTGAAGAGGACATCATCAGCCCTCTCTCGAGTGACCACACGCCCACGCGCCCGTTCTCGACGCCGCAGCCGCAGCCGCCGCCGGCGCCCCCTACCTCACTCCCATTGTCGACGACGCCGACTAACATCGCCACACCGCCGCGGCACGAGAAACCTGCGGAGAAGGGCCGGAGCAACAGCGCGGAGAAGCCGGCACGGACGAAATCGCGGTCGGAGAGTTCGGGCCGGTCGAAGTCGAAGAAGAGCTCGAAAAGCCTGAAGACGTCGTCGAGCGACGGTTTGCGCGCCGCGACGAAGCCGAAATCGGACGCCACGAAATCAGACGTGCCGCCGCCTCCCGCGCCGCAGCCGCCCGCGCCGCTGCCGCCGCCTGCGCCGCCGCCAGCAAATTCCACGAAGGACTCTAAGGAGAAAACGTCTAGTCAGCCGGCGGGCGAGACGCCGGTCGAGGCGCCCGAGACGCGTCTCGGCGCGGAGCAGTGGCCCCCTGGTGGCGACGACCTCGGTGAGCTGGTGGCGCTGCAGCAGAAGCTGCGCACGCTGCGCGATCGCAGTCGTCTGCAGCGCATCGTCGATGTCGTCGAGGAGACCGGGTTGTTTAGCGTGACGAGCTCGACGTTCGACTTTGACCTGTGTTCGCTCGATCGCACGACCGTCATCAGACTGCAGCACTGCCTGGACGCGGCGTCGTGACGCGTGCGTACGTAGACCCGCGCTCGCTGCATCGCTGCCTGGACGCGTTGGCGTGAGCGGTAGAGCGCCGCGGCTCTGGCGTGCACTCGGCGGCTGGCCGGTGGACGGCGTGGCGGACGGGTAGGGCCCGCGGCTCGCGTGGCATTCGGCTGCGGGGGTGGAGCGCGCGTCGTGACGCAGTGCGTACGTAGACCCGCTCTCGCTGCAGGCATGCCTTGGACGCGTGCGTAGTAGACCCGCGCTGCGCCTACCATCGCTGGCCGTGTACGCGGCGGTCGGTGACCGTGGGTACGTGAGACCCGCGCTGCGCTGCGGCACTGCCTGGATCGCGTGCGTACGTAGACGCCGCGCGTCGCTGCGTCGCTGCTGGACGCGTCGTACGAGACTCGCGCGCTCCGCTACACTCGCTGCCTTGGACGCGGCGTCGTGAGCGCGTGCGTACGTAGCCCGCGGCTCGCCCTGCAGCGAGCTGCCTGGACGCGTGCGTACTAGACAGGCCGCGCCTCGCTGCATCGCTGCCTGGACGCGTGCGTACGTAGACCCGCGCTCGCTGCATCGCTGCCCTGGACGCGTGCGACGTAGACCCGCGCGCTTCGCTACATCGCTGCTGGATCGCGGCGTCGTGACGCGTGCGTACGTAGACCCGCTCTCGCTGCATCGCTGCCTGGACGCGTGCGTACGTAGACCCGCGCTCGCTGCATCGCTGCCTGGACGCGTGCGTACGTAGAAGGGCGGAGGGGCCCGCCTCGCTCCGATGCATCGCTGCCTGGTACGCGGCGTCCGAGACGCGTGCTTACGTAGACCCGCCTCGCTTGCGTCGGCTGCAACTGGAGCGTGCGTACCGATAGACCGCGCGTCGCTGCGTCGCTGGCCTGGACGCGTGCGTACGTAGACCCGGCCGCTCGGCTGCATCACTGGCCTGACGCGTGCGTAGGTTAGACCGCGCTCGCTGCGTCGCTGTGTACAGCGTGCGTACGTAGACGCCTGGCGCTCGCGCACATCGGCTGCCTGGACGTCGTTGCGTACGTAGACCGGCTCGCTGCATCGCTGCCTGGACGCGTGCGTACGTAGACCCGCGCTCGCTGCGTCGCTGCCTGGACGCGTGCGTACGTAGACCCGCGCTCGCTGCATCGCGTGTCATCCGCTGCCTGGGACGCGTGCGTACGTATGACCCGCGCTCGCTGCATCGCTGCCTGGACGTCGTGCTGTACGTTAGACCCGCGCTCAGTGCATGCTGCCTGGACGCGCGTGCGTACGTAGGACCGCGCGTCGCGTGCACTCGCTGGCTGAACGCGTGCGTACGTAAGACCCGCTCGCGGCCCCGTCGTACGCAGCCTGGACGGCGTCGTACGTAGACCGCGCGCTGCGCTGCGTCGGCGCTGGACGCAGTGCTACGTACCGCGCCAGGCTTGCATCGCTTGCTGGACCGTGGACGTAGACCCGCGCGTCTGCATCGCTGCTGGCACGCGTGGTACGTAGACCTGCGCTCGCTGCATCGCTGCCGTGAGACGCCGTTGCGTACGCTAGACCCGCGCTCGCTGCATCGCTGCCTGGACGCGTGCGTACGTAGACCCGCTCTCGCTGCATCGCTGCCTGGACGCGGCGTCGTGACGCATGCATTGGCACTGATGCCAGTGATGTAGCGTGGTGGCGTTCTAGCATGCCAGTGATGTAGCGTGGTGGCGTTCTAGCATGCAGTGTTGTAGCGTGGTGGTGTTCTAGCATGCCAGTGTTGTAGCGTGGTGGCGTTCTAACTTCTAGCATGCCAGTGTTGTAGCGTGGTGGCGTTCTAGCATGCCAGTGTTGTAGCGTGGTGGAACGTACACAACCCAGTGTTGTGGTGTGGCAGCGTCTCAGCGTGTTGGTGAAGGTTGTTATGAGATAAATGCTACTATGTGAGGATGGTGAGAATGGGAAATGCTTTATGGCCTCCGACTGGCAACTGAAAAGGGTTGAGTATGTCTTTTGAAGCTGCCTTCATCGCAATGTTAAATGTTGGCTTGCTTACATCAGACGCATCCTCCTGCTGAATTGAGTCACTTAGAACAGGTGACAAACATGATTCCTCATCGCTTCATGGCTGACTTCTGCATGCAAGCATACAGAGGTCGTACTGACCCCTGTCTCAACCAGATGTACTCATGGTAGGCATCACGTGTTGGTAGTTACATGCAATTATTGCTCTTAGCCTGTGATGCTCCCACCAGCTCCCTAACTAGGACACACGGGCACATTTACTACACTGGTGAAGCTGTCCATGGCTAGTCAGCATGCAATGGAGCAGTGTGCAGCTATGGGGAAGTTCAGTTGTGATTGACTTATGCACCATTCAGAGGAACATTACCCTGCAACGTCTTGCACAGTACTTACAGTCTTACAGTGACTTAAGGTATTGGTTATTGGTTGTCCGTACACGGTTAGTATTTAGTGCATTATGTAATGTCACTGAAACCAGATTAAGCTGTATATAAGTGAATTTAACCTGTTAAAAGTTACAACTTGGAATGCTTTGGCGAATGATAATTTGCTGTACTCTGCAAAATCTGAGCTAGTTGCTAAGAAACATCTGGTTACCATGGTAGCCGATGAAACGTGAGGTTTTGGAGGTGTGTTAATAGCCCAGGGCTGTTGTTGCCTTTACATACATTTAAACTAGTATAATGTACTCTTGTGTATAATGTTACCATATATGTTTGTAAAAAGTACTCAATTTTACGATAATAATTTTTCAGTGTTTATTAACGTCTCGTTAATTGATGAGATGAATCTGCTGCATTTTAAGGATGGGAGTAAACATTTAATTCAAACTTTAAGTAACCATATAATTGCAAGCAGATATTATTTAGATATCAGTTATTAAAAGATATCAGTTTATCGAAGACAGAAGCAAGCAGGACGGTTACGTTCTAGCATAGATATAAACAATACATGTGTTGAATATATCTATGGTTCTAGTAAATGAAAGTCACATTCATTGTATATAGAGTGCATGTAAAATTTACATTGTAAACAAATAAAACGTACCAAAGCATAACTGCAGTCATTCAAGCACAACAATAAGAGGCATGCGTTTTCGTGCATGAGTATGTATATATGTAAGTAGTATTTGGTTGAGGATTAGCAATGGACGAATATGCTAAGACCAGCTACATCCCACCGGCGTTCCTGTGCGCACTTTACGTTTTAATATTCAAAGTAGCCGTTTTTTTTATAGTACTGTAATTAACATTTTACAGTGGTGGGCCAAAACCTCATCTCGATTTTTCGCAGATTTGATTTAACAAATCACGCTGAATCATTTTTGTATAGGAAAGCGAACCTTGTAGATACGATAAAATAACCCGGCAGTGGACAGGTCAATTTGCTTCCCCCTTCATATTATTACACGTCTAGCTGTTCGAGAATAATACTGTGTAAAGGCTGTCATGTAAATCTTCTGAACGAACAGGAGTGAAACTAGTACTACAGCTATATTTACCATCACCATCATTACAGCAAATTTGTATAATAAAGGAATATACAATATAAAATGAGTGTACGATTTCTGTAGCAGTATTTGGCAATCTTCATTAACTACCACAAGTTCAGGACAAGTTCACAAGTAACATAACTGTCACGATATATTGAAAATATAGGATAACGATACGACTTGAGAAAAACTAGAAGCAATACATATACGGGTACCGCTGACACACATAAAACTTCATCAATCTTCAAACTTCTTCAAAATTTTTCAATTAATTCAGTTTCATTAAATGATTGGGTTTGGATTTTTCCCAATATAAAAAGTAAGAAAACATCTATAATTTAATAAATAACTGCCACAAGAATTATACTAGTCCTTCATAACTTACTTCGTATGCCTGGCAGAAATACACAATCTTCCCACCATTTGTATTTATTTCTTATAAATATGCCCTGAATTTAATCATTTGTTTAAACATAATTTCATATAAAATAACCTGTGAAGTTTTACCTGATTGACAGTAAATTACTTAAACATAGTAATAATCTTTTGCCAAACATATTTTAACCATTTATAATAAATATATCAAAATCAAGTAGTATATATCGAATATAACCTAAAACACCTAACAACTTCTAACCACGGCAAGTATCATAGAGGAATTGTATTTAAAAATCAAAATTTATACTATTTAATAAAAGTAGAAATGACCACGTATAATTTGTATAGTAATATATGGTTAAAACTAGTACTAAAAACTTATATACGAATACAATATAAAGCTCTTATAATTGTTAGTAATAATTAAAGTTTTTTTTAAATGATATGTAATTATAAGTAAGCAACCTTAAATTATTGATATAAAAGCTAGCAGTTATATCATTAATTACTCCAACGTAAACAGTAACTTTATAGAAATCAAGTTTTATAACTCTTGATCTTTATCTTTTTCTGAATCGCAACGTAAAACCTCACATGCTAATGTTAGCAGTGAAATGATCACAACAGCATACCGTCTATACATATAAAATATGATATATAATTATACGACTAGGTCAGTTGCCTAAAGATGAATCACGAACAATATTTGCAAAAGTAGGATTAATATTACCCCTTAGGTCAAATAGGAATCATGGAATGTAATAATTATGATAATTAGAATAAAATGATTGAACGTTTCAATCTTAATGACAAAAGGTCATAACTAGTACATATATATATATGCAGCTTATAACACTACTAATGTCAGCAAAGCTGTATGCTAAAAATGATTATTTAAACGAATAAAATAATGCCCCTCAATTGGGCTCACCAATTAAAAAATAGTGATATCATGAGCGTTTGTATACCTATAGTACTGTAGTCCACATATGTTCATGAGGGTCTCGAAGACATGCATGCAATTTAACATTGGGAACAGAAAAACAATGGCTTACAGTTGAACTCAGTACTTCAGTACAATTTCACTCATTAAAAAGCATCTGCTGAAAGACTGGAGCTATACATTCACAGCCGATTAAAGCTACGGACCTCATACAGAGGTGAGAGATAAGAGCGTCTAGATATATCTATCACAACCTCGGGTCTTAAAGTTGGGTGACTTCATCTGCTGGTGCATCTACCAGCGCTCCAGAGCCCAATGTCTTGTAACGATGTGTTGTGGGTAATATTACGAACATATGTACAGTCAAATCTGAATATAAGGATCACTCAAGGGAAACGACAACAGCGTCCTTTACAGACAGGTAGGTATTCGTTCTATAGAGGTTGTTTCACTCTATAAATATCACTCAAGGGAAATGCCAAAAGCTATTTCACATCACAGCTAGATTTACTTCACAGATACAGACTTTCTATATGGGTGTTTGCTAATTGTTATAGGGTATATTAGAGCTTACTTATCGGTTTACTGTATAGAATGTGTACACAATCTATACATGTGTTCCTGGTAACACTAAACATCGCGTCAGACTCTCCCTACTTCTTCTATTCCTGCTTCTCCTCTTTGTTGTGCGCTGCAACCAGAGCAATTATGCTATCCTCAGTTTCCGGACTCGTAAAATCGTTGCCCTCCATTCGGAGGGTGCCAATGTCAATGGTCATGTGACGCGGACGCTTCTTGCTGTCAGTTCGTAGTTTCGGCACTTCATCCTCGTTCTCATTGGGCGACTCCTGGACCAATAAAATTGCCGTGCGTTTATGCCAGTGTTCACAATGCGACATGTGTGTAACAGAAACTATACATAAGACGAGGAATACATGCTAGACACGAGCTGGGTGACAATAACCATTGCTAAGTATCTTCTTCTTTGTTGAGCACTGACATTAAAGTGATTACGTCACCGTAAATAGTAATGAAAGTGTCAATGACACTGTAGCTCACCACAAAAAAGGACACAAATGAGTGAGTAAGAAGAAGTCAGTTTTAATTGAGCAACCATTGACGTACATTATAGGCTCATTATAGAAACGATTGCCATCTGTATATCGCAATAATAATTTATAAACCAAAATGAATCACAATTTATGACCGTAGATGGCGCTATACCCGCTTTGTAGCGATGGCGTTTGAAATAAATAGGTTATGTTGCGTTCCGACATGTTTTGTAAATCTTTACTCTAATATAGACGTTTTATCGGCAGGGTGGAGAAGAAATACCAATTTTGCATTAAAGATATTGTCAATGAAATCTTGTAAAATGAACCAGACAAGTGTGACACCACAGACTGTTTGTGTCTATATAATATGCTTTATAATTGCCAAACCCTACCTAATTTGCATAATCTTAACCCTATCAAAGCCCTAAGCATCAAAACCCCTAGCCCTTATTCATTCACATACCAAAAATGAGCAAAATCCGTTGAACCTGAACTGACTAATGGCAATTCCCATTTCTGCCAAAAAAATTGCCGTGGCTCGAAAGTACGTCGACTGGCGTGCTTCAAAATAGGACGTTTAATATGGGAGCATAGCAGTAACAACTATACCCAATTTCAAACATGTGGGCCAAACGGTTCCTGAGTTATCGTTGACCGAAGCGAAATGTTGACGGACGGACGGACGTATGATGGACGACGACCCATGGCAATAGCTCAGCTTGACGATGTCAAGGTGAGCTAAAAATGAGCAAAATCTGTTGAACCTGAACTGACTAATGGCAATTCCCATTTTTCGCAAAAAATTGCCGTGGCTCGAAAGTACGTCGACTGGAGTGCTCCAAAATAGGACGTTTAATATGGGAGCATAGCAGTAACAACTATACCCAATTTCAAACATGTGGGTCAAACGGTTCCTGAGTTATCGTTGACTGTAGCCAAATGTTGACGGACGGACGGACGGACAGACGGACGGACGGACGGACAGACGGACGGACGGACAGACGTACGACAGACGACGACCCATGGCAATAGCTCAGCTTGACGATGTCAAGGTGAGCTAAAAATGACAATTTTTTTTTTTTTACAAATTTTACCATAGAAAATTCGTGAGGTAATCGCTTTAAAATCTCCTGCACTTATTATTTGATCGCAAACATTGCAGGTTATGTCACGGGGCTAACTATGTGTTAATGACATCAGGCAGTGTACTTACCAAGTCGTCTCTTCAACAATACTGTCATCGGGTCAACAACGTCACTGTCACATCGACAATATTGTCAACATGTCAACAATGTTGTCTTTGGGTCAGCAATGTCACTGTCACATCGACAATATTGTCAACATGTCAACAATGTTGTCTTCGGGTCAGCAACGTCACTGTCGCATCGACAATATTGTCACCATGTCAACAATGTTGTCTTCGGGTCAGCAATGTCACTGTCATAAAGACAATATTGTCACCATGTCAACAATGTTGCCTTCGGGTCAGCAATGTTGGCTAGAACAATCTTCACTTACAGCAGCACTATGGAAGTCATCGCCCTCTTCCTCCACGACACCGCCCATACCTTGCCACGGCTCACTTTGTGCGCGTTTTCTCATCTCCTGTAATATACAATGACAGGGTGCAAAATTAACGGGAGTCCGGAGTCAAATACTCCCTGATTTACTGTCGGACTCCCTGATTTGACATATGCAGGAGTCCGTGTGACTCCCTGAAAATTCTGCTATACTAAGTTCGTTCCGGAGCACGGCCGCGGAATTACTGTATTTTTTCAGCCAACGTCTAAATAAAATTAGGCAGACGTGCAACTGCATGAATCTTAAAAATAAGCACATGCGTTATTGTTAATATCTTTAATTTTAAACCTCAGACTGCGGACTCCCTCATTTTGCTGCAGACTCCCACTTTTTGAGGGTAGGGAGTCTGTTGGACTCCCTTGTTCAAAAGTTAATTTCTACCCCTGCAATGACCATATCGGTCATGCACTTGTGTCACTCTCAGACTCCTCAGTCCAACAAACCAGAGCATAGTTGGATAAGCAACACCACCCGAATTTACCCTCTCATTCACCCTGGATAACAGCACAAGCTTGCCGATGTGTGATATAAATTGAGCTTTTTAATTGCATTCTACCCCATAGTATTTTCCATTCCCATCAAATCCCATCGAAATCACGATTGTCTGCTGCTAGAATACATGCAATTTAGCTCGCGTGAGTAGTGCATGTAGTGCCACCTACGCACCTGCATCTCATTGCCATAAGCAACATGCGGCAGATCCACAACCCGTTGGTAACGATTGCGCAAACGCGTCTGCAGATCCTGCAGTGGGTCGCAGTAGTCGTTGCGAAAGGCCATGCTCCTCGGCAGTTCCTGATATGTAAACAGAACATGTTACGGTGAATGAATGCAGTGCTAGGAAAAAGCACTCTGGGCTTTTCTATCTAGTCATGAATCCTCTGTATTAATAGTAACCAGCTATAGACGTGGTAGTAAGATTCTGGATTTCTCTTACAGTACCTACATATCCCACACTACAAATAACAGCTAAACCTGTGATTGAGTGGGTATGGACTGAATCCACAGGGTAAAACATCCCTGGAGGTTGTTACTAAGCTTTACAAACCTGTACAGATAATCATGAACACCAATCTAAGTATTTAGATTTCCTCACAGTAGTATAGGAATTACCACATTACCAATGCATTGCGCCTGCTATTCCTGTGCAGTACATTCCACAGGTCAGGCACCGAGGGGTCCTTGTTCGACACCGTGGAGTACGGTCGACTCGACGATGGCCTGACGGAGGTCTGTGACCTTGGTCTGCCCCAGAATGACCCAGAGCGACTGGACGGTCTGCTGGACGGTCTGCTGGACACTGGCCGCACGTCGGACAGTCGCCTGCTCTGCCTGGCCGAACCCGGTATGCCAAGAAGGCCAGCTATTATCGACTCCGCACCCAACCTGAAGTTCAGAAACATTTATTAAAAAAAAAAGAAGCAAAATTTAGGCTCATCTTTGAATTTTAAAGAATTTGACCAAGTTCCCCCCCCCCCCCCGACAATTCACGTGTCGGCAGTCATTGGCAACCACACCGGTCCAGGATAAACAGAATATAATAATTTTCTAGACAGTATCAATAGAGCAACTATAAAATTAGTAATTAGATTATTACACTTACAGTTCTTGGTCTACATGTACTTTGGGTGCTGTTTTGGCTGTTGCAAGAGTAGCATAATGCTGGCTATAAAAGAGAAAAATATATATATACATAAATGATATAAATCTTCGTGAATGAAATTAATTGCAACGTAATTAGGGAATATAATATACTGACATAAAATCACAAAATCCTGACAAAGCTAACAGTGTTTTTGCCCTACTCACTATAACTACCGCTATGCATCCATGCATACATACATGCATAAACATACTACACAAGACATTGCCTGGGAAGAGGCAATAGTTTCATCTAGCTTGAAAGAATGTTCATCTTTAATCCATTGCGGCTGGCGCACATCTACACACTGCCAAGATCTTTTAATTTTGTGTATTTATACAATTGAAATTCTGAAATAAATTACACGCTTGACGATATTTCAGGCACACACACACAGGACTTATTGCTAGCAAGCTCACGAATGGCAAAAGCCTAGATTTCATCATTGGCACACATGGTGCAGTGGTGCATGGTTTGGTAGAGTGCACCGTGCGGCACAGCACGCAAAAGGCTAATAAATAGCAGCCGTACACTAATATCACGAGCACACCTATACTAGATATGACATAATCATCCAAGCTCACGTTCACGTCATGAAGTTCATGCTAATATCTAAACACCTAAAGTTCACGCTACACGGTCAGAATGCCAACTAACGCTCGACGATACTACCACCGTACATCTCGTAACACTCACTTCATCACCAATTCCTGGTAAACTTTCATAATGTGGTTTGTTGAGGAGTCGGGTGAATTCTGCAGCCACGGCTTCATGTATTTCAGATTAATATTATCGAATATCGACTGGGAAAAAAAATCATCACGGGATATTCATTCGCCGATCACGAGCGAAGCAGCTAAATGGTCAGTTTCAATAGTGATGTTGATAATCCGTTAATACAAGTGACCGTTACGAGGTACGAACAACAGCTCAGGAAACTTGTTCTTCACGGAGGTCATCACAGTGTCAATCGTATTAATGCCAAAGCTCACACCCTGAACAGGACCCCACTTTATTGCAGGTTTGTTTGCACCTTCAGCGGTGCACAATGCAGGGAGTATGCACAAATGTAATGCTAAAGTTAAACTGTCTCTTAGATATATCTGCTCCCTTCTATGGGGAGAAATAAAGGAACTGTCCGGAGCACAGTTCAGCTGAGCTTATCCAGTCAAACCTGTGTACAACGCTCACTCAAGGGAAATGCCATGCGCCCTTTATAGACAAGTGTCCATTATAATAGATGGGACCGCTATCGCAGGGTTGACGGCAACATTCACGGAAAACGTCAACTTACTCGGAGCCGGTTCTTCCCGATGTGTCCAGAGATCTCTTCCATGCCAGAAGACAGATAGTCCATGAGCTAAAATAGATATCAGGTGGGAAGTGTCGACCCACAACACGACATGCGCAACTTAACAGAGGAAGGGCGAGCATCAAAGAACGGAATTGTAACAACGTTAAAATTCCTATAAAAATCCTCCCATGACATAACTCTGATGTGTGTTGCACATGGGATGTCCCTATCTGTTGACAATTTACAGGCAGATTAAATCTAATTTTACATCTTATCCGTATATCTAAACTCTCTAGAGATCTTAACTGCAGAAATTCAGCCTGATACTATAGTAGTTGACTAGACATTGTAGTTACTATGTAAATTTTTATTTCATACATATCTTTCACCACATTAGCCTAACAACTCAAAGGAATAAAATTGCATTGCCCTGGTTGAAGCAGCAAATCTAAGCAGTTAATTGCATCATATTAATATGAAACAACAGCTTTGATCAGACATGACAAACATACTGCTGCATTCATCTCCTGGGCCATTGTCACTTTGTCATCAGCCAACTGGATTCTCAATAGTTTAACCAGAGGTTTGATTGTGATACCCTGCAATGGAAAATCAGCAATACTTGTTAATAAACTGGCAGTATTCAGTGAGGAAAGGAGATAATTAGAGTAAGCGAGACAAGGAGGAGATAGCAAGATAGATAGATAGATGAATACAGATAAATAGACAA